ACATTTTCCCCATGGAATAATCTATAATGTAAAGATTTTTTAAGCCTATATGCTATGAACTGCATGCAAAAGGAATGAGGTACAGGATCACAGACTGGTTGTCTTAAAATACCACCTCTATGCGAGGAACCCTGATATTAATCTACAATTATATGTTTTAAAGCAATTTCATTTCAGGAAATAGATTTATAAGTCTCTTACTTAAAGGGAAATGTCAGAGTTGGAAACTTACATGCTACAATTTGGCTGACCTTAACAAGCTCTAGCCTCTTTAGTGTAACAGGTCTGCTTACAAACATATACATACAGTTGACTTTACATAATAATGAACTCTCTTATTTTATAGCCTTATAACTCTTCAATGATTTGTGGTGGCTGTGTCTTCCAGATACAGCTTATATACTGACTATCCCAAAAGGAAATTAGGTTATAAAATAGTGTGCTGAATGTCGTCAGCTCTGTTCATTGAGGGATCACAAAGTAAAATACACATGAGATGAAACACATGGCAATTTACAGTTGGAGAAAGACTGAGACAGTAAAAAATCAAGACTAGAATTACACGTTACAGATTAGAAGTCAAAGGGCTTGCATAAATTCTAGAGGCAGCTTCATTGCTCATTTACTGATTTTTTTTTGGGGGGAGGTCATTTAGTTTTGATTGTTTTATGTCACAACCTCAAAGGGCGGCTTTATGGACAAAATAACATATTACAGGAAAAATGAAAATCTAATGAAGAAAAAATGAAGGGTTTACAAGTGAAGACCCAACAGTGCAAAATTACTGTGTCATTTACAGGATCTCTCTGCACAGACATGACCAAAAAACTTTAGCATTTTGTTCTTAGAAAATAATAAAGATCTGATACTTCAAATTCACTTTACAACCATAAAATCTGCCCATTTTTTTTCATGTAATTTTCCATAGCAATATTAAGATAGGGAAATACTACTTTTCCCATTTATATACAAAGAAACAGAGACCCAGATAAATTAAATAACTTGCCTTAATCTCACACCTAGTGAGTGGCAGAACCGGAAATTAAAACTAAGTCTTCTGACCCTAAAGCCAGTTCAGTTTCCACCACAAAGGAGAACCCAATTTAATAATAATAACACACACACACACACACACACACACACACACACACACTTTTTTGCAAATAAAAAAAGGTCCTGACAAAACTTCAAGGCAAATGAGCAGGTAAAATTTTAAAAATAAATTACAAACTTCCATATGTAAGGTAAAATAACATGGCTTTTAACTGACACTATTGGCAAATGTATTCTGATGAGACTTCTGAGTGTTTTTATATTAAACTAGAGGCCCGGTGCACGAAATTCATGCACTTAAGGAGAGGGGGCAGCCTGGCTTGTGTCCTCTCATAGTGTGGGAGCCCCGCGATCGATCACCCCAAAGCGGTAGGCTCCGCCCACCCATCTGGGGCTCCTCAATGGATTGCCCCAAAGAGGTAGGCCGTAACCGGGGGTCCTGCCTCCATGCCACACATGCAGCATCAAGTCCCCGCCCACCCTTGTGCGCCCGCGTGCATGCAGCCTCCTGGTGATGGACTGTGGGATTGTAATGGCGTGAGGGCATCATGGTGTAAAGGCATGATGACCACCTAGGCTATTATTAGTATAGATGCTTAAGAAGAAAAAACTAAGTACACATATATATCCCATTAAACAGAACAAATAACATAATTTACACTTAAAAAAATGATTTGTAGTCTCCCTACACAGTCACCACTATGTTATTACCAAGCTTTACAGTGCTGCGCTTGGGCATAAGGCCTAAAGCCAATAAACTCAGAGCTCCGACTGTGATGTGCTCCCTCCTATCTCCTCTCCAGTGGTCATTTCTGGTTCTGCCCTTGGTGGTATTAGTTCCTTTCGGCTTCATTGGGCTCCCCTCATCTCAGCTCCCTGTACCTGCTGCTCCTTAGAATTCTCTGCTTTTGTAATCAGAGGAGTTTCGCGTTATCAAGGGAAACCAGAAAACAAACTTAGTAAATATTCAAACATAAAACATACATATACACATTTGTATATGTTATGTACACACAGGCACACACTTACCCATGTGTGCACAATAAGTGTACCAAATTGTGTTTTCTCAATGCTTATATCACTTCCTTCATTACCATTAAGTAGGCATGAACAAATGATACATAGGTAGAATTTTCATGAACTTGAGAATTATGGAAAATAGAAATAACAAATTATGAGATTTAGAGTTGTGAAACTTTAGGTTGAGTCTAGGTTAGGAGTCATAAGACTAAGACAGCTTTAAGTTTGGCCTTATGATTCTGAATAGATTAGCTGATTGTGTCTTATCCCAAATGTGTTCATATGTAAAAGGGGAATAAACATAATATTCATAGACCATACTTTTGTGAAATTAGTGCCTCAAACTATGTAAAGTATTAAAAAAGGATTTGTTATTATTAAATCACAAAGGTAGCCATATTTTTCACATATTTATTCTCTCTGTCTCTCACAAACACAGAGACACACAAAGTAAAACAGAAAGTTTATATTTAAAATATACAGCCTTGTTTCATGCATGTAAGCCTTAAAATTCTAATTGCCAAATAAATAGTAAATAAGCTATATTAGTAAAAGTCTTAAGAGGCACTCATCAAATTTCATTATCCATTACTAATCAGCTTTCCAATGCAGGAAAATGATGGACAATTAGGTTTTTCTATATTCATGTATACCTCAGTTACAAAAAAACCCTCTTTCCTCAGCTACTTCCATACAAACTACACAAAACAACAAAAACTAAGCCAAAAACTTCTAGAAAAACCTCTGCTTCAGAAGCAGACAAGGGCAGATTCTATAAATAATGGAAACTTGGGTTCTGATATGAAGGCCAACCTGTAGGTAGTACAACACCGAGCTTCCCACTGAATATCTCCAAATGCCCTTCTTATATCACTTTATTTTTATATATCACATTATTCTAACTAGTGAGCCTATGAGGGGGGTTCTTGAACTGGAAGGTGTGGGAGGAATTAGAAAGGTACCAGAAGTAAATTTCACCTATTGATCTTCTACTGAGCTAATCATATAGTTAAGAAAAGAGAGAGGCCGGGGGGGAGGGGGCCTTCAAAAATAAACTGATTTCAGTATTGTACAAATTAACTTTTCCTATTTTCTTGAAATCAGCCTCTGGTAACAGCACCCACCTTTTCCCTTCCCACACTCAGTCTAGGAAGTTCAAGTTGGCTGACTCCAGCCAGAACTAGCTTATTGGATCACTGCATTCCCCAGCCACAGCGACTGCTTTGGAGTGGAGCATGTGAGTCAAGTTAAATTCAATAGTGGGGTTTTATAAGAACTGCTGGGAACAGAAAACCTCTTTTTGATGGTGATCTGGCAGTCTCATCACAATGACAGAACTTGCATGAGAACACAGCAAGAGCAAAGTCCAGCAACAGAGAGAATGGGATTGAGTTTAATGACCTGGCTTAAGACCATGGCTTGCCTGAAGCCACGCCTATACTAGGAAAAGTTGTATGGGACAATGAATTTACACTGATGCTCAAGCCAGTTTGTGTTGAATTTTCTGTCACTTGTTACCCAGAGATCATATATGGAGAACAAATATGGAACTCATATTACCGATTCAGTGCTGGTTTTAGGGACTATTAAATACTTAATAATGTAAATAATGTAAAATCATGTAATATCAATTCAATAATGCAAAAGCAATCCAAGAAGCAAAGAAATAATTAATCAGTCAGCTTTTTCATCCCAGAATTAAGGATATTACCTTGTGGTCTCCACCAAAACAAAGGTGAAACATTTGAGTCATTTATGCTTACATCTCCAAAGCATCCATTTATCTCTCAGAAAACTGCCCTGAGAAATAAACCTGCGGGAATCTTCATGTTGAACTCGTTAGTGAAATTAAGTGTCAATTATACAATATTACTTTTACTAATAGCAAAAATTCTACACTTCGACCAGCCATAGCAGTCAACATTAATAAAACCATCTGGCCTAAGTCTGATGTTAATTAATTGCTTATAAGTGAGGGTGATGAGGGCAAAAATAAACTAAAAGACTGTTTCTCCTTAGGAAGTATAATTACTTGGACAGAAGAAAAACTCATTTTAAAAGAGGATCTCAAATTTTTAATTTAATTAGCCATTTGGAAACCTTCAGTAGGAATAAAGGTAGGACTGAAACGGGGTCCTGGCATCTGAAGTAGCTGTGAAATGAAATCATTCTGCATCAAACACAACCTAAATTACAGAAGTGATCCTCATATTCATGTTTTAATCTGCTATAAACATATATATACACACACACACACACACACACACATATACATACATACATAGTTGACCCTTGAACAACATGGTTTGAACTGCACTGGTCCACTTATTTGTGGACTTTTTTTTCCAATAAATATTATAAATGTATTTTCTCTTCCTTATGAACCTTAACATTTTCTTTTGTCTAGCTTACTACACTGTAAAATGCAGTATGTAACATAAAAAAGATGTTAATTGACACATTTTTATGTTATTAGTAAGGTCAACAGTAGGTTATTAGTAAAGTTTTGGGGAGTCAAAAGTTACACTGATTTTCAACTACACAGAGGGTCGGTGCCTTAACACCCACATTGTTCAAGAGTCAACTGTACAGAAATGCGGAAAAGGCAGAAATGATGTATTTTGTGTGTTCTTACTACAAATGCTCTTTCAGATTATACAAATGAAATTTATGACAGAATTATTTTTCTATGTCTCACTGAAAAACAGACTGAGACAACCAACCAACCACAAAAAATTCACAATCATTGCCATTAAATATTGCTTGGTGGAAAATCTTCAGGTGGATTTTAGAGAAGGCATTATTACTATACGGTATATTACTGACAGATCACATCAAAATACTTTTTGCATTATTTCGCAATAATGCTATAGAGTTAACTGTGCAAGTCTACACACTAGAGAAAAATGTGTAAAAGGAACACCCACATGAACATTTACCTTCCACTGCTCTTTTGAAGAACACTTTGCAGCTGCCACAGGTTACTACCCCATAGTGGCAGCCTGAAGCCTCATCTCCACACACCAAACATATCTTGGAAGGTCTTGAGGATCCAGTAGAAACACTTCGTAACGTAGAGCTGGGGAAAGAAAGAAAGATTTAAGTAACTACACTGTAATGGCACATTTGATATGCTGCACAGCTTAGCTCAAACGTTATCATAAATCATGGTTCCATAAATGAATTCAGTATGTAATGGTCACATAGGAGGACTTATATAATGAAGGTAAACTCTATCAGTAGAGTCATGCTATCAACCATTCTGTAGAGCAAAGCCTCTTCTCAGCATAGAAAAATAATAAATAACCACCATTTGCTTTCTTCTTTCCCGTTTTCGAGAAAGTTTACCAAAAATTTGTATTCAATGTGGGCAGGGAGAAGAAGAGTCTTGAGCTGAGTCATCATGAAAGTATTTTTTGGCATCAAAGAACAATTATAATACTTCTCAACTCTCTTCACCCAGACTCACATTATGTATCTCAATTACGCCAGGTTAAAAAAATAAACACACACAAAAAAACCAATTCCTCTTTCCAAAACAATCCACTAATTAAAATTAAAAAAAATAATCTTGCTTCTACCGCCAGCAACTTGACCCCCACTCCTTGAAGCTTCTGCATTTTTTTCCATATTACCTTACTTAGGTATATTCCAATTACCTCATTTTGCTTACTAGTTCAACGGGGCACAGTCAATATATTTTTAAAGCCATACATGGTAAATATCTCAGGTATCTTTCAAGTAAGAAACTGACAGGTTCTGGGCAATAATTTTTAGGGGCAAATTTAACCCTTTAAGCAGCAATCTGTATGAATATATTTTAAAAAGAAATATTTTCAATATATATAATATATTATTGTGTTAGTTAATAGCACAGTTTGAACAAAACATGTTCAATTCTAACAAGGAATCAGTTCTGTGACCGTTTAGATGTGTATTGAGTAGGCAGAGAAGCTAAATTTTTTTTCATGCAGTCTGCAAACATTTTTTAAAATATGTTTTATTGATTTTTTACAGAGAGGAAGGGAGAGGGATAGAGAATTAGAAACATCAATGAGAGAGAAACATCAATCAGCTGCCTCCTGCACACCCCCTACTGGGGATGTGCCCGCAACCCAGGTACATGCCCTTGACCGGAATCGAACCTGGGACCCTTCAGTCTGCAGGCCGACGCTCTATCCACTGAGCCAAACCGGTTAGGGCTGCAAACATTTTTTGAAAATCTAGCTACCCATAGGTGCTTTGCAAAGTACTGAAAAAATCAGTATATTTTTAAAAACCAGGCTGTCCTCCAAGATAGTGGGGTTGTGGACCAGCAGAGTCAGTGCCATGGTGTGGGTAAGTATGGTGGCACGTGTGGGCTCAGCCTTCACGCCGGAAAGGGTGGGGACAGACAAGTCAGAGAGCATTTCCGGAAAGGTGACAGCAGCCCTGAGTCTCAAAGCAGCACCAGATGACAGCCAGGCCAGGAAAGAGGGCAGAGGAAGCAGGAAGTGTGATGGCGCAGAGAAATTCTAGCTGGACATGCCCAGAAAACTTTGGGTGGATTGTTATGTCACCGCCTCCACCTTCCTGTAGGGCATTTGTGTCCGTGTGAACCAGCAGGCATGTGGTTAAAACAAAACAAAACAAAACAAAAAACAAACGAAATATACCAAAAGGATTGAACAGTTGTGATACAGTTATTTCTGTTTTTCAAATTAGTGGAAAATGTGATAATATTTACGTGATAATTAAAAAACACACACACAATTTTAATGTTTAAACTCCAATCTCACTAGAAATAGATGAAGGAACAAACTCCTCAGCTGCTCAGAGCACTGTGGCATGACCGGCTTTCTAGAAAATGACTTCTTAAATCAAGGGCTGAAACAATGTTCTCCAAAGTTGTTTCTCCTTCTGAGAAAAGAGCTCTTTATTATTTTTATTACTGTCCTTTGACTTCTTTATGGCATTCAAAACATTCCATTTCAGCACCAGTGACTTCTTTAGCATGTCAGCCAGTGAAACTCAACCCATACTCTGACTGACTCTCTTACATTTCACAGGAAAATACGACTTTGTAAACATTCAAAATATGTTAAAATCATCATTAAAGTGTAATTTTTTCCCCCACAACTACAAGCATACATGGGATTTGTATTTAACATTCTTGTGAGCCTTGGTTTTGGTCCGATACTTAATAGTCTTCCCTTTAGTCTTTGGCACTCCCTCTTCTATTCAAACTCACTTACTTGGTGATCTCATTTGTCTCAGCTCTAAATATCATCAATATACCTTGGACTTCCAAATGTTTATCACTAGCCCAGACTCCTCCCTGGAATTTCAGACTCATTCATGCAACCGCCTGTTCGACATTTCCGATATGCACCTCAAACTTAATATGTGCACAACTCTGCTGACCTTTCCCTGCCTCCAAACCTGATCTTCCCACAGACTTGCTCAACTCAGTTAATGACAATTGTTATGGGGTAAATGATGTCCTCTCTCAAATTCCTATCTTGAATCCTAGATCCTAGGAACTCAGAATGTGATCTTATTTGGGAATAGGGTCATAGCAGATACAATTAGTTAATTAATTAATGAGGTCATTCTGGAGTAGGGTGTGGGCCCCTAATTCAATGTGACCAGTGAGTGTCCTTATTAAAAAGGGGCAACTGGGACACAGACACACACGCGGGGAGAATGCTATGTGAAGATGATGAAGGCAGAGATGAAGCCAGGGGTGCTTTCACAAGGCAAGGATTGCCAGAAAACACCAGAAGCTAGGAGAGAGGCACAGAACAGATTTTCCATCACAGCCTTTCAGAAGGAACCAACTCAGCTGACACATTAACCTTGGACTTCTAGCCTCCAGAACTAAAGAATAATGAATCTCCCTTGTTTAAGGCATCCAGTTCAGATGGTGGTATTTTGTTATGCAGCCCTAGAAAACTAACACAGCAACTTGGACTCATCCCTGACTCTCCTTTCTCTCACACTGCACATTAAATCAGTTACATTTAATTCATTTTACTCTCAGAATACATTCAGATTCGGATCCCTTCCCACAATTTCTCCTGGTACTACTCTAGTCCAAACTATCAACACCTCCTTGCAGATTTTGTTTCTCATTGTCCCTTTTCTTCCCCTGTAATAAAATGAACCTTATTCACTCATTTGCTCAAAACCACCCAAGGGATTTCCCTCACACTCAAAGCAGAAGTCAAAGTCTCTATGACCACAGGGCCACAATCTGGCCCCTGAGATGTCTCTGATCTCTTGCTTGCATATTGCACAGTGGCCTCCTCGCTAGCCTTCAAAACACAACACCTCAGTGCCTTTGCACTTGCAGCCCC